TGCAGAACAATGAGACGTTTCCCTTTGCCAACTGGGTTGACAGCGCCAGTTGTTAGTCCTTTGTGGAATGCGTCGCGTTGGGATTGTATAGTTGTGTCGACCCACGTTTTTTTTGTACACTCTCCTGGTTTCTTATACTTCTTATTTCTTTATACTTGCCAAATAATCCCTACGCCACCCAACTATTTCATTTCTTTCGGTCATAGCACTATTTCGACTCCGTTTTGTGTACCGAAAATCCATTTTTTCAAAAGGTGGTACAAATTGGTTCTTGATATTACTGGCAAACTCTTATCAGTGAATACAGATTGGTGAATTTTGTTCGGGTATGGTCAAATTGCACTTATTTGAGTCGAACTGCACTTGRGTTTAAAAAAGGTAATGGTCGAACTGCACTTGGGTAAAAAGTAGGTAGTGGTCGAACTGCACTCGTTCAAAATAAAGAGTTAAAATTCAAGCCTTAAGGTCACTATGGACATTCACGTGTACGACGTACGTGCATAACTGCATAATAACATTACCGTGCTGTTAGACATAGCTGAATGTATTTTCACTTGCTAGAGTCGAACGTGTATAGCGGAAACTGGAAAACGTTAAACATAATATTACGAACCTTATGTATACGAACGCTACGGTGTACATATTTGGTAGCTTTATATATCAGTTCTTAAATGTAATTTAGATAACGTAGATAATTATTGTCACCAAAAATCGATGAAAGAAACTAACCTAACCGGATAATAAATAGATATCAGTAAAAGTTGAGATTAATACTTACATTTTATACCGCGTATTATGTAGACCTGTGTAAACTACAACTAGCACACACTTGAACGTCGCTGTGTAAATATGGACAATTTAAAAATTATTAAAAGTGAACGAGGCCGTGACTTAATTGTGTATAAAAAATATACATTTTACGAAGAAAAACATGTAAATGATGGTGTTAAATGGCGTTGTACCCATCGTGGTTGTCTTTCAAAACTGTATCTTAATGAAAGTTCTACAGTTATTTTTCGAT